GAGAGAGAGAGAGAGAGAGAGAGAGAGAGAGAGAGAGAGAAAAGGGGAGGAACACTCACCTTCGACAACGAGGACGTCCAAGGCGGCGGCAGGTCACAGTACCGGAAGAACGAAGTCCACGGTGGATTGCAGCAGTGGAGAGAACGTCTGTTTTTTCGCGGCGGCGTGGAAAAGCAACCAGTTTGAATTCGAATTCGAATCGGCCTCCTCGCTGGAGGGCATTCCAGGAAGATGCATCCCTCGCAAAAGGGCAAATCGGACAGGGACCACGGGAAATGGGACCGGCGGTCCGGTAGGGGCATTCTGAAAAGTTGCGCCCCTCACTGACAGGGGCCTGCCGGAAAGTTCAGAGGCCCCAGGGGCAAATCAGGGTAAGTCGGCCGTCGGAGGGGCAAAACGCAAATAAACGCAAACTTCAGGGGCATTTCGAAAAATTTCCCAATAAAAACAAACGACAATCTAGAAATGAATGCGCCTGTGTACGGAAGAATCCATTCAAAATGTCCGTGAAAGGAAACCACGGACAGGCCGAAAGGCTGAATGGCAGTGGTACCAACCACCGGTATCTTTTCTTTTCAGGCTCGGCAGTTTTTGGGGCGCCGGGAAATTCAGCCTCGGAATCAATAGCTGAGCGAGGTACTGTAGAGCTTCACTGTAGAGCTTCGTGACCTCGTATAGACTGCACTCTCTCGAGGTTCGTGTCTCACCTGCCCTATCCCTCCACCGAGCGGAGTGTTGGTGAACGGGGGGGGCCCTCCACCCTCAAGGTGGGCATGGTGGCATCTCTCACCCACTCACTCCACCAATTCGTAACGTTTCCATCGCTCAGCACTTTTCCGGTAGGTAGTTACCGGAGAATTAGCGCAGCCCAAGCGGACCTCGGTCTTTTACATTTCTTCCTTTCCATGTTCTAGCATAAGTTTCATTCGCATTTTGCACATTTGGTGAGTAGTGGAGCGAGGCCGCATGCCCTTACCTGGTTTGTATGCTATCAGGCTGATCAGAGACACGGTGTCCCTCTTTCTTGGACTCTGCGGTTGAGTAGGCTCTTGGACTGTGGTCGGGTTCGTCAGCATGCTTTCCCATAGCAGACTCTGACAGTTGGTGTGGCGGTAGCGAGCGGATCACGTCAAAAAGCTAACGAAGTCTCGCATAGACGGTATTGCGACTGCCGACTGTGGCAAAGCCACGTGGCAACGCGGGGTTTAAGTGTACAGAGGGCATAGTCACACGAGGAGTTTTGGTACTAGCGTCTGGACGTGATCGTTGTTAGATTCATCCAGGGTTGGCCGTAATTGCTATGAGATACATTTAGGGAAGTGCTAGTGATGCCCATAGCTGGCGAGGGGCTTGGGTCGGGAAGCGCGTAGCAGTCTTGCCTTGAGGCATACACGTGCATTTGGCAGTGATGGAGGCAGACTTGACAGCGAGCCCGGCGTGGGAAGGGCCTGTGGGGGTTAGTGTGCTAGGTGAAGAATATCAAAGACTGGCTAGAACTCCTTCCCTGCGCGGGGGGAACAGGTCGCCTATTGACCATGGCGCTCTGCATCAGGGTCCATCACATGGGCAGAGTAATTTGAAACCCGACCTGAGTGCCCGATCTGGAGGAGGGGTGGGGCTTGGGGGCGTGGAAGGAGGAGGAGGTTGGCGAGGGGAGGTTGCGGCAGGGGATGCAGAGGAGGGAAATCGTTCTGCGAGGGTCGCTCGACCCTATCGCCCAAACTTGGACGGTCACGCTGTAGATGAGGCCAGCGCTAGGCGCCCTGGAAAGCAGCAGCCGCTCATCGGTCAGGAATCGATGGCAGACGGGCCGGAGGGGCAGAGCACAAGAGAAGGTAGCAGTAGTGACCGCTCCCAAACCCCTTGCCCAGGCAGTGCGGGTTATCGGTTTCGATCCCCCGATCAGCGGGATGATTGGCTGGGCCACAAATGGCAGGAAGGAAATGAAGATGGTGTTGATCACGCCACTGGCGGGGGAAAGCAAATCTTTCCAGGTGAGAGTCATGGTGATGGAAGGTCGGTTAGCGGAAGAGAGTCGGCCGATCTGTTAAGCATGCAGCAGCCCAGACAGGGGCAACGGGAGGGAGCCCTTTGCTCGCAGAAGGGGTCAAGGCGGACGGACGGAGTGTGCGGACAGGCTGGCGAAGGAGAGTCTTGGAGGCGAGAGAAACTAAATGGAGGGGGAGCGAGGCAGGAGGAGGCATTTGTGTGGAGGGAAGTTGGAGGAGGAGGAGAGATCGGGATGACTCGGGTGGACAGAGGGGAAGGGCCCTGCAGCACTGGGCGGGGTGGCGGTGGTAGTAGTAGTGCGGTTAATGACGATGGGAGGCGGGGAGGCGGTGCGAGGGTGGCGCATGTAGAGGTGAATCGAGAGCGGCAGCGACAGAAGCAAGAAGAAGGGGGGCGAATCAGTGGCAACACGGGACAAAGGGAGAGGTGGATGAGGGGGAATTACGTGCAATCGGGTTTAAGGCAGGGCGGCGGGCCTGGTAGGCAGTTAGATCAGTCCAGCAAAACAAGAGCGGCCGCCACCCCCGTTGAGATGCGGGATGGAGGTCGCAATCCCGGCGGCAAAGAGTGGAGAGGGAGTGGTAGGGGTGATGCCAGTGAGCACATGGTGGAACGACGACTTCCTGCTGGGGGTTCCAGGATGGAGAACGCAGCGACGATGACAAGCAGCAGGGAAGGTCGAGAACCGAAAAAGCTGCTTACACCGGCCGATGGCGGGAAGGGAGCGGCGGTGGCGACGGCGTATACGGATTCAACGAGTGTGGCTCGCTCAGAGAGCCAGAAAATGGGTGGTAGCCAGGGCAGAAATGGTGGGCCTGATCTTGTAGATGAGGTCAAGTCAGGGCTCCCTTGTTCGGGGGAAGGAGCGGGGGGGATGGAAGAGGAAGACCAACAACAAGAGCAGGAAGCTCTTCTGAATAGACAGGGGCTGAAGAGGGATTACCGCGTGGAGTACGTTCCTGGCGGCGGCGGCGGTGGCGGTGGCCGCGCGGCGAGGAGTAAAGAGGCGAAGAAGAAGGAGGCGATGGCGGTGGAACCTCTGGCTCCGTTCTTCCCGTACCTGCCTCAGGACGATGCAATGGCGGTCGGGATCGGGATAGACGACTCCAGCAATGCGGCAGACACACAGGAAGTGGTGGATTCGTTAAATCGTCAGCTGGGCATTCTGCTGCGTATGACTCCCAAGCAGTTTTGGCGGCAGGTGGTGAGGGATGCATCACTTCACGCGTTTCTGGACAGCTATCTGCGATTTCGAAGGCGATGGTTCGATCTTCTTCCGGATAATGACGTGAAGGAGGGGGTTGGCCTCGGCGGCGGCGGTAATTGGAGGTATAACAGACGGTCTAGAGCGGGAGTCGTCGTCGGAGATGCAGAACTAGCCAGGAGAGTGTTTATGCTCCTCTTTCGGCTCTCGACGAGTCGCGAGCCTGGCGTTCTTCCAGCTGATTGTCTCGCTCCGAAAGAACACGCCGCCATCATATACGAAAAGGGCTATCTCGATCTTCCGAAACTGATGGATGTTTGCGCGATCTACGGGCGAGATAACCAGGAGTTGACACGTAAGCTTATCGGCAACGTGTTCAGTGCGCAGGGGAAGTACAGGAATGACGTGACGTCGTGCGTCCCACACGTCTCCTCCACCGTCGAGGCGATGTCGATATCCACGAGGAGAAGCGTGGAGGCTATTTCGGACATTGGCGATGGGAGGAGGGGGATGCTGCAAGCAGAGGATGCGATGCGCGTGCGGGGAGAGCTCCTGGATGTTGCCGATTTCCTTCACGATCTCGTGGCCACATTCGCCGCGTTCGTGGAAGTGTTTCCTCCGGCGGCGGAAATGTTCGTTTCCGAAAGAGACGACAGCCAGAGCTCGCGGTTCTTGGAACTTTTGGCGCGAATTTATGACGAGCTGCTTCCTCTCTTGAAGCGAGGTCTCGCCGCGATTGCCTCATTGACAACCGGAGATGGGAGATCGCCTTCGGGGACCAACGATCCGGGAGCGAATGAAGTCCCGGAATGGCGTCGCAGTGAGGCGGCGGATGGCGGCCGCGGGCAAGAAACGGCAATTGCGAAGCTGCGTGCGGTGGAGAAGAGAAAGATGGCTCGACTAAGGGGGAGGACGCTAAGGCTGGCGTGGAACTGTCTATGGTTGGGATGCCTTCGAGGCGACGAGGAGGGGGGCGCGGAGGGGAAGGAAGGAGGGGGGAAAGACGGAGGAAGGAACGATGCAATGGGGGGCGGAAGGGGGGCGGACGCTGTGGCGTACGAAAAGGCGGAGGCGACCTTGAGTGCGGTAACGGGCCTGGCGAGCTGGATCGGGGAGGCCGAGAGTCGCGCTGCGGACGGCGAAGTCGTTATAGCGCGGGAAGGGGCGGGAAGCTTGCTTCGCGCCTTAGAGCGCAAGTACGACCTCGCATCGGTTATACATCAGCTTCGAGAGAGTGGTATGATTTGTCTTGATGACCCGCAGATGAACTATTTGGTTGGGGTGATAGCACAGCCGAAGTTGCGGGGCGAGATGGGAGCCCCAGCTTCACAGGTTCGTCAGAGCCATGAAGCGAGACTCGCGGCTGGAGGGGGAAGAGGATCTTCTACTCTGCCGCTTTCGTCGGGCTTTGCTTCTCGTGATGTACGAGCGGGAGGAGCAGGACGAGTAGGCGGAGGAGGGTCGGTCACGACCATGGTCGGAACACCGCAAGCAGACATCGAACAGGAAGCTGTAGCAATTCAGTTGTCCAATATAAGTCATATCAAGGAGTGCCTGCCAGATTACGGGGAGGGCTTCTTGGCCGCGTGCCTGGAGGCGTACGACAACAGCCCAGAAAAGGTGTTGCAGCACATTCTGGATAACACCCTGCATCCGGATCTTGCGAAGCTGGATATTCATTTGAAGACCAAACCTGTGCCGCAGCGATCTCCCGTGATCAATCATCTTGATAAAGGAAAGGGAAAGGTTGCGGCAGAAGTAGTGGAGGAGGAAGACGACGACGAAGAAGACGACAGTGATGGCGGCGGGAGTAATCTTCAGCTTAGCAGGACCCGACGATCCGGTGCTGCTGCTGCTGCTGCTAATAGATCGGGTAAAAGGAGCGACGAAGTTGCGCCTAGCGCGGCAGCCATCAGCGGAATCCTTCGGGCTTCGTCGTCGCCCGTTGTCATTAGAGAAGGGAAGGTCGCAGGCTCGACTCCATCGCCTTCGTCATTGCCGTGTTCCTCTTCAGCTTCTCCTTTTTCTGCTACTCCTCCCTCGTCGTCGTTTTCTTCGATCGTGCGTGCGAGCAGTAGCGCGAATCTATCTACGTCATCTTCCATCGGTGTCTGCTCTTCCTCTCCGTCCTCGTCATCGTCGACGCTAGGAGCGGGAAGATTGGTGCGACGGACTCGGGATATGGGCGATGCCGTCAGTCTGTTGAACCGGATCGGTGACGCGGACAAAATGACCATGAAGTCTTCGGTGAAATCATCTCAGGTGGAGTACGAGGACGAGTACGACGATTCCTTTGACGATCTGGTCAATTACGGAGCGGATGCCGGAGCGGAAGAGCCAGAGAGTCTGATAGAAGCGCAGTTGAAGGGGGTGGGGGGAGGCTTAGCATCATCGTCGGTGACTTTGCCGTCAAGATCAACGCCTGTGTCGCTGAGAAGTGAATCGGATGGTTGGAAGCAGGTGCCAAGTCATCGTGAGGAGAGAGGGGGGAAAGGAGGAGGAGGAGGTGGTCGGGGAATGAGCGCAACGCCGCGAGGGCGAGTTGAAGGAAAGGGCCGGAGCGGGGACAGAGCGCCTCCCGCGAAGCCGCAGTTCTTTGTGAAGGATGGGAAGAATTACAGCTACAAGGTGGCAGGATCGACTGCGGTGTCTAACGCCGATGCCGCCGCGGCCAAGATCAGTGAACAGGAGGCGCTGATAATGGGGCTTGGACCCGGGGGAAACGTGCCTATCGGGCAGCAGTCGAAGGGGAGGAGACCTAGTTGGAAGAGGGAAGAGGATAATGAGGACGGGGAAGGAGAGCAGGAGGATGGAGAGAGAGATGGTGGTTCTGCTTATCATTTGACAGACGGCAGGGGAGAGAGGGACCGGCCAACAGTCGGCGGGAGAGGGGGCCACTTGCCGGCGGGGAGAGGGAGGGGAAGAGGACGGGGTGGAGGTGGAGCAGGTAGAGGAAACGAGACCACGACATCTGACGCTGAGAGGCGGCAGCATGCTAGGAAGGAGCAGAATAAGGCATTCGTCGCGAACCACAGGCGGAAGGACCAGGCAATGAATAAACACTTCAGATCCGTCGGTGGGAATTGACAGCTAACGTCGGGAAAAAATCGATCGGATGGACACGCGCCCAGAAAAGACAGCTGCAGCGGAGTGAATATGAAAAAAGGCGGGTAAAGAGAGCCGGGGGATTCGGTAGATGATGATGATGAAGAAAAAGAAAATAGAATGGATCCTTAGGGTTTGCTTGTTTCAAGCTTGCGGCGAACAAATGGGTTGAAGGGGCGTCAACAAGAAGAGAGGAAAGTTAAGCGTTCAGCGGTGGACTGTTTGAACCGGCAGGTACGCAGGGTAGTGTAGGTTAGTAGGTAGGTAGGTAGGTAGGTAGGTAGGTAGGTAGGTAGGTTGGTAGGTGAGTGAGCTGGTATGTAAAGGTTGCGCTTCGTCCGAAAGCGCGATCACGCTCCGTAATGTGTACTGGATTTGACTTGCACGTCTCTCCCATGTCTTGTTGTAGAAGACTCTTTTGTTAACGTTGTTGTTGTTGTCTCGTTGGTGGGGCTTACTTCATATGGCCGTCCATGATTGATTGATTGATTGATTGATTGATTGTTGTGGCTGTGTTGGATGCGCTGTCGTGTCTTGTTGTAGAAACTCTTTTGTTAACGTTGTTGTTGTTGTCTCGTTGGTGGGGCTTACTTCCTATGGCCGYCCATGATCGATTGATTGATTGATTGTTGTGGCTGTGTTGGATGCGCTGTCGGGGCTGCTGCCTGAGACGAAACCCCTACTGTTGTTTGTACCATTGGCTTTGGCAAGTTCTCGAGATGCGTGTGACGAGGGTTCTCTTCTCGTAAGTGTTAAAGCAAAACAACGAACTCTTTTTCATGTTTTCTTGGTTTTGCTCTCGATGTTGGTAGTATTTGTGAGCTTGGTTGTGCCTAGCCATGTCCCCAAGCTCCGCTTATTCCCTTTGAAGAGGAAAAGGACAATAAAGTTGTGCAGGAACAGGAGAGGAGAGGCTTGCTGTGATGTACGCGGCTGTTGGATTAATTGTTGATTCTACCGATGGTTGGTTGCTGCTACTGCAGGATACCCATTATCCGTACTAATGAGGCTGGGCTTAGTTGTGCCCGATCAGAAGTAATCCCTTCTGAGAGAAACTGGCGTGGTTTACGATTAAGCAGAGTCGTCCCCATGTCGGGTGCTGTTTGTTGTCGGTGGTGTGGTGCATGGACATGTAGGTTGCCGAGTTTGACTAATGGTCAGCGTGATAGGATGTTTCTGAGGCTTCAGTTTGTGGATTGTTGATGGTGGTCTACGTGTGTGGGTATATCCACCCAGATATGACTTGTGTTCGTGCTCGTCTTTGAGCGTGGTCATGATTTCTGTTTGTTTTTAATGTAATATCCTCTTGGCCTTGCTTCCCCCTTAACCCCACTGGACCAAAACTGGCTGTTTGTGTGGATTGGTTATTGCTCACTTAACTCCCCCATTGAAGGACCGGAATTGGAATTCTTTGGCAAGTAGGGTGTTAAGTTGCTATCAGACTTCCTTCCCTGTTTCACGCCTTATTGCATATTCTCTAATGGTTGTTTGCCGGCTCAATGTCTTCACTCTGGAATAATTATGCATGGTTACGTTGTCTCTTACTATTCGGGGACGAGGGGTCAATATGAAAGCAGCTTCCCTGCATACAAAAACAAGAGAGAGAGAGAGAGGGAGAGAGAGAGAGAGAGAGAGAGAGAGAGAGAGAGAGAGAGAGAGAAATCTATCTGTGAAAGCCTGAGCACAAACTTTCTTCGTGTCATATTGGGTGCATGGGCTGGTTGTGTGGCAAGGACCTGAAGGAACACCTGTAATCATTGATGTACTAGCAAATTCAGTTATGCGTTCCTGCAGCTTTTGGGAATGATGCACCCTGATGTGAGGACCTCTTGTCTGGCCAGAGTTCGAGGATCCCCATTCCTTACAGCGCATACGATTACAACGGTTGTTCTTGGCGTGAAATGTTTTGTTGATGTCATGCGAGTAAGCAGAGGAGGCTCTTCTGCCCCTTAGGTCACCCGAAGTAATGGGACTGGTCACCTAAAGGGTTTTCTGAAGAGGACATATGAACATTGAAAACAAGTCTCATATCCTGTGGTCCTGTGGTTGTGCCGAGTGGCTGCATGTTTTCTCTTTGTGCCATGGCCGTGCCATCGATCAACTGTGCTCACCCGAATACAATGTACGGTCATTATAGCTGTATTTGGGGCAACTTTGTTTGAGTCTAGATACAGCAAGAATTACCATCCGTTGTATTCGGGTGAACACAGTAGGGTAAGCAATTGGATAAGGAATTTGGTATGCAGTGCTTGGGTATTGGACAAGAGTGGAGGGAGGTACTTACCCTCTGGATGGATAGATGAGAGCTGCGCGGATCTGTGCCTGCCTCTTCGCCTGCATTAGTTCGCTGACCTGCTGTGCCAGTGGCATGCCAGAGTGTCAACCTCTGGCCTTGGTCTTTGAGTACCTGGACCAGTTCACATGAACCGAAGGAGTGCTCTTACCGGTATATGCTATATGCGGTACTAGCACTTGGCTTCAGGTGTGGGCTGGTAGGCAAAGCCGCAAGTCACTTTGAAAAGGCACAGTCGCAGGCTCGCAAGCCTCTTTGAAAGGTTGCAGTTGCAGGCTTGCGAGCCTTGGAAGGCAGCTTGGTCCCTCAAAATCGTAGGAATTGGTGGTTCAACAGTGATCCGCTTCTAGGAAACAAACACTCACGTTGACAGTCCTCAGACCGAGGCACCTACTCAATTCGTTGGAGACTTGTTGAGCCGTAGACCTCTGGGTTGCAAGTTTTGCACAGTTATATCTCTGGCATCCTGATTTGCTTCCCTTTGATGCCTTTGTCCGCATGTGGGAGTGTTTGATCAGTAATCTTCACCACGCCCTGTTTCTCATTCCCCCTCTCCTCTGTTTTCCTACTTCCTTGCCTGCTTTTGCTAGACTCTGCTGCTGTTCGGTTCTCATCTGGCTCTTGAACTCTTTTTTCTTCCGTTGGGTTATCCTTCCATACCCCCTTCCTTCTACTCTGCCTTCTTCTCCTTTGGCCTCCACTGCTGTCTGGCTCTCATCTTGCTCTTGAACCCTCTTGCATTATATCCTTGCTCCTTGGCTCCTTTGGCTCCTTGGCTGCGTTGCCTTAGCCTCCATGACTGTTTGGTTTTGTTTCTCGTCTTAATTTACCCTTCATTCGTCCTGTTACTGCTTCGCTCCATCTGCTCTTCCTCTGCTTCCTTTGGCTGCTTCTCCTCCAGTCTCTGTTGCTGTTTAATTCATCCGCTTCTCGACTTCCCCGCCCACTCTCCTTCCTTTCGTTTTGTTCTCCACTTCCCCGCCCACTCTCCTTCCTTTCGTTTTGTTCTCGACTTCCCCCGTCACTGCTCTGTGCAGGGCTCCATTGATTCATCCTCTTCTTGACATCCCCGCACACTCCCCGTGCCGTAGCCTAAACGTAGGCTTGACAGTTTCTGCTGCTGTTTGAGTCGTCCTTTCGTTTCGGTCGTTGGCCTCTCCCTGACCTTTTCCTCTTGTGCTCCTGCGTCATCTGCTTCTTCCCCTTGTTCTCCATCCTGAGGGATTTTCTGTGTTGATGAAAGCCGTAAACTCATTGCCATGTCAGATGAGTAATTTATGACCTTATTACTTCGCTTTATGCAAGAGGGTCCTTACCTATTTGTTGAAGTGAATAAAGTAGAATAGAATTGAATTGACTGAATACAATAAATAGACAATGGATAATGTGTAGGAAACCCACATATGTCTGTGTGGTATCCTCAGAGACCGTTTTCTTCCCCTCGTGCCCCAGCTTCTCATGTTCCTCTGTAGCTGTGGGCCCTTCACTCATTTGCCTTCGTTCCTCTGTTTTCCTTCCTCCGTCCGTGACATGGTACTTCGTGTCATCGGCTTGTTGTCACTATTCTCGTGCATTTCCCTTGCCTCTCATGTCTCTGCCACTGCCGTATTGGTGCAGCTGCTGGCAAGAATGCGTGCGAAAAGCTGAATGGACACTTCTTGGCAGTGCTGCGGAGTACCTAGCTTCTTATGGCATGGCACTCTCTGCCTGGTGGCAATGATGCAGGTATGAGGAAGAACAGCTATGCTGAGTGGACAGAGTGACAACGGGACATGCAGGATGCCTGGGAAGCACTTAGACGGCGAGGAGTTTCAGTTTGGCAATGATAGTGACAAGGAGAGATGCAGGATGCCTGGGAGGCACTGTAGATGGCAAGGAGTTTCAGTTGGGCACTGATAGTGAAGCGGAGAGATGCAGGATACCTGGGAAGCACTGTAGACGGCAAGGAGTTTCAGTTGAGCACTGTTGCCCTCTCTCCAGGATGCCTGGGAGGCACTGTAGATGGAAAGGAGTTTCAGTTGGGCACTGATAGTGAAGCGGAGAGATGCAAGATACCTGGGAAGCACTGTAGACGGCAAGGAGTTTCAGTTGAG